AGGGTCCCGCACATACTCAGCTCCTTCACGCAGTCATTCACTAGCTGCTGCTCCTTCTCCTCGTAGGTGACGGTCTCCGTCTTCAGCTGGCAGGCCTGGGGACAAACGCCGGTCAGAGGTGGCTGGGCTGTGAAGCCAGGCAGGTCCGGGAAATGTCCCTTCAATCCCTCCCACCTGTCACCTCAAACTCCCACTGCCATTGAGTCGATTGCAGCTCACAGTGACTCTAAAGGGCCCAGGGGAACTGCCCTGGTGAGTTTCTGAGCCTGTCTGTCAATCCTTCCCCTCGGGAGCGGCTGGTGCTGAGCTGGCCGTCAGCCGCCTGATGCACAACCCAAACCGCCTCCGCCACCAGGGCTCCCTGACATGTGGAAGGTCCAACCTCAATGTCGCCCATCTGCTAGGGACCTTAGAGTCTGCAGTCTACAAACTGAATTTTAAAAAGGTATTTAAAATTTGAAACCTATTCACCCATGAGGGGGCACCAGAAAAAAGCACGTGCTCGTTGGCCAGTTGGGCTGCTGGCCAGTTGGGCCGCTGGTCATCCTCCTGCCTGGCTGTCCATCCGGGACTGTCTGGGCAGCCCTTACAATGCCCGGGACCTGGACAGGGCTTTCCAAGAGTTACAACCACAGACGTGGCTGCCACTGATCACACCCTTGGGATGGGCCGGCTTTGTAGCTGGAGCTAAACCAGCTGTATTCTTACCTGGTCCGAACAAGGTTCAACGTGCAACATCTGATCTCAAGAGACCCAAGAAGCTATCTCAGGCCTCTGGAGCGCTTGCTCCCCAGGGATGAGGGTGGAGGAGGCCAAAACCTGAAGGCCCAGCTAGAGAGAAGGGAGCTGTGGGCCCCCGGTGCTGGCTGGCCCCAGAGGGGGCCTAGACCCTCCTGAAATCAGAGCTGGAGTGGTGGCAAGTCTGGGTTAACACCCTTGGCTGTGCTGGGTTTGTGCCCCCCCTCTCCCGCCCCAAGTGAGGCTGGAAAGGACAATGTCTAAGAGAACATGGTCCTCCATCCAGGCAGAAAATGCTCTTGTAAGGCCAGACAGAGGCTCTCCACCACGCAGTCACGCTCAAGGTGAAAGAGGCTGTAGGGCGCGCAGGGCAGCATACGTGGGGCACACAGCCCCAGCCCCACCAACAGTGGCTGGATTCACAGGGCCAGTCTGTATCTGGCTAGAGAGCATGACGTCCCTGATAACTAGGACAAACAGTACTCCGTGTGCACGGAGTCCATTCTAGATAGGGCCAGTGGGGCCAGTGGAAATGTGGAGTTACTTAGAATTTTGCTTTGTCACTTAGGGGCTGGCATGCCCTTGGGGAGGGCCCCCCCCCCTGGCAGCCTGGGCTCCACCTTTTCCCTGAAAGGTGCCACCCTAAGGACTGGCAGCAAGACTTCTTTGCACACACACACAAGGACCAGTTCCCAAGCTGTCCTGCTCAAACCCTTGTCCATTAGGGGTGCAAGCACTGTGCCCTCCCGGCTCAGGTGAGCAGGTTGCATGGGGCCTTTGACTGAAACACCAAGACGTGAAAACCAAAGGAGGTGCTTGCTCTGAGCCTCCATCCGAGTCATGTCTTTTCGGGCGAGGCACCCACGTTGGGTCAGAGCTGGCGAGCGGGGCAGGGGCCTCTGCCGTCCAGAGCTGCCACACGGAGGCCGGGCACTCACCTCGGATCGGAGTACCACGTTCTCCTCTTCAAGGTCCTTCAGCTTCTTCTGAAGAGAATCCAGATGGAAGTAGTTCTGGACGGAGGAGCTGGACTCGTTCCTTTTCAACCTGAGGGAGGAGGCAGCCCATCAACAAGCCAGGGAGGGACACGTTCCCCCACTGCCTGGCTGCCCACGAGCAGGCACAGAGAAGGGCTGCTTCAGGCTAAGTCCAAGCAACAGGGAGCCATCAGACGGTCCCTGCCCCCAGGAAATCAGCACCTCAGCCCAGGCTGCTTCCGAGTCACCTCCCAGCCTTTTGCCTGCCATTTAAATGGTCCTGTCCTGTCACCTCAAGGAGAATCCACTCTTCTTGGGCATCTACACAAGGCCAGGATGCCTGGACACTCAATACCTGTCATTTATTTCCATGTGCCAAAACCTGTTGCAGGTTCTTTGAGTATGCCCACTCAATTCTCAGAGCCCTCAGACGTAAGTACCACGATTATCCCCACTTGACAAAGGAGAAACAAGCACTGAGAGGTGAAGTAGCTCGGCCCAGGACACACAGCTTGTAAGTCACAGAGCTGAGATCTGAAGTGAGGCCACTGGGCTCGGGTGCTCAAGTTTCTAATAGGGGGCCCTGCTGGCTTATGGAGAGGTTCCCGCTTCTGCTGTCCCCAGGACCCAGCCTGAAGCCTAAAAGCAGCGTGCGACACCATCGGTACGAGACAGAAACCTTCCAGAGAGGGAAAATGCACCTATTTCCTTTGACTAGAGAAGAACAGAGAAGTGGCAAGAAACTTGCGAGACCTGGAGAACGGAGACAGTCCCCTTGGGTGTCACTGTATCTCCGCCAGCAGCAGAGCTCACCCCCTGACGTGCCAGGGCAAACAGGGCACCATGGCATCTGCACCCTTAAACCTGACAAGTAGGCAACAGGACCCTGGAAGAGGGAGGCTAAACACCCTTCCATCCAGCTCCCGCTCAAGCGGCACAACCAGTCGGTTAGAGGCACTTGGAGCTGCTCAGTTGGAAGGGTCTGGCCTGCACTCCTGGTGACAGCGGCCCTGCCTCAGGGACTTACGGGGTGGAGCAGACAGACTCGGGCTCGCTCTCCTCGGCGGCGCTGGTGTAGAACTGCAGCAGCTCATCCTTCATAGACAGCTCGTGCCGGAGCTGAGATACCTGCGGACGCAGTCACAAGGCGATCATGGGTGTCCACAAACGTACTGTTCACTGACAAAACCCCAAACACCAAGCCCATGACCATCAGGGACATTCCGACTTGCAGAGACCCTATTCAGGGGTGCCCCGGCCGTCGGTCTTTACGGGAGCAGACAGCCTCAGCATTCCCCACCCAAACGGCTGATGGGTTTGAACCGATGACCATGCTCTTAGCAGTCCGTGGCAGTTACATAATTTCCTGTCAACTTGCAAAGGGGTGGAGTCCAGCCTGTCCATCAGGTCACAGCTTGATGACCTCATGTGGAGGTGCAAAGGAGATAAATAGTTCACTGGAGGCCAGACTCTCTCTGCTACACATTCCTGTTGATGAGACACATGGAGTTACACTGATAGAGCCAGAGCCCTGGAGCTGGAGGAGCCACGTGGAGACCCACGCCAGTGCTGGAATGCTTCCACCGCCACTGGATCCACAAGACTTTCCACCCACTGGCCTGTGATCTTCCTGTGTTCAGCATCATTGCATGTGTTGTGTGAGTCTGAAGAGGAATTTATAGACTAGTATTGGACATATGGGCTAATATTGGACTTATGGACTTGATCTGGACTGGGCTGGGATTTTTTTTCAATATACAATTGCTCTTTGATATAAAGCTTTCTTATACACATATATAACTCCCTCTGGATTTGTTTCTCTAGTCAACCCAGACTAACATACAGTCCAAAGCTTGTCTGACAAATCCTTAGGTGACTAGGATTTTTTAATTCGCCCTCACGAAAGCAAAGGCATCCCACCGTTTTGCATTATTCAAAGAGCACAAAGGATTTGGTCCCCCGTAAGATTTCTCAAAAGGGCAACTGACGGCTTTATGGCAGACGCTCCCCTGCTCGAGTTGAGCACCGTCACTTTGGTACAGAGATGAGACGGGACTAGAAGGTTCTGGAGTGATGGTGGGGTGGATGAGAAGGCGTGGGGGCTCTGGAAGTGGCCAGAGGACCAGACACCAACTTGACGCAATGGGTCAAGTTACTAGATGAAAGAGGAGGCCATTCACTGCTGCTGAAACCAAGTGCCACTTCAGAACAGGATGGAGGTGATGCCCACTAGGGCTGGGCAACTTCAGCGAGCTCAAGCCCTGGTCTCATACCCGGGATACCTCACAGCCCCACCCTGTGGCTCTCACACCCTCCGGGAGAGGACCCCCTCCATCAAGTGGAGCTGACCCAACTTGCACTCGGTGGTCCCCAGATGCGAAGCAGGCTACTGCTGGGACAGCTCTGCAAAGCACTGTGGGTTGAAAGCAAGCGAACGGAGGCTGCAGACATTGGCACTTGTCCCTTCGCCACATGGTCCTGATGAGCAGGAGCCCCGTGCTGGGCATGGGCATTTCCACTCTGCCTTCCCTCCCTCCCGCTTTCACTTGCTTTGGGGTTGAGTGGGCGAGTCTGTGGCTGACTCCAACTGTCCTAAACGGCACAGTGGAGGGTCAGCTGTCCCATCTCCCACAGAGAGGTGGCTAGGAAGCGCATGAAGGATTGAGTTTCAACACAGAACACAACGGCTTTTAAACGGGATGAAGGAAACGAGGGTTTATGAATTCCGATTTTTACACCAAGGAAAAAATGTCACTTCTGGTCCCCAAAGTCCCGCTTTGCATGAAGCAAGGGCAGTGACACGGGGTGGCGTCTGCAGGCTGATTTGCAGGTCCCAGGGGGCACTTCTCAATAATGGAATGGGTTGCAAAGGGGGCCAGGCTGTCTGATGAGTCCATGCTGGCCCTCCCAAGAGAGGAGGGGCACAGGCTACGGGGCTGGGGTAGGAAAACCAGGAATCAGCGTGACTTCCCCCAACACACTGGGCTTCGTGTGCAGACAGCAGGGGTCGTGACTGCTCGCACAGTGACGGCTCTGCTCCAGCACACTGTGATGCCCGAGCAGCAATGCGGGGACTCGCCTGAAGGAGGAAAGGGGTCTGGATGCACCCCAGGGGGGCACGGAGGAGCGCGCCACTTGCTCCACCTCAGACTGGCAGGAAACGGAGGGAGAAGACGCGGGACATCAGACCCAAGTCCCCAAATAAAATTTCACTAGGAAGAGCACGCAGTCCGGATTCCAGGGAAGAAGCAACAAGGTGGGGCTTGGTCCCAAGCATCTCACCTCTCTTTCCAGCGACCTCCTCTGGTTCAAACCACAATCCTTCCAGAAGATTGGCAGTTCTTAAGAAACATTTCCAAGTCCTCATCCTGCCTCCCTGAGCCTCTCTTTTAACCACCAGTATTCCCTCAACCACACCTGGAGTCTCGATAACAGTGCTTCTATCATGAAAATACAACAGGCCACTGTGGGCTTTGGGGCACACACTGAATTACACTGTCACGCTGCTGTCACTGCCGTGTGCAACCATCCCCACAGGGATGCCTTCTCAGGGCCCGACCCGGCCCTGACTCGGGAACTCTCCTCACAGCCCACGCCATCAGACTCTGGCCTCAGGGAGGGCAGGGACCATGGCTGGCCGGTGCCACGGCCACAGTAGTCGTACTCAGTCTTGCCCCCAAGTGCCCCTTCCTGTCGGAACGGAAGGAGGAGGGCACATGAAGCAGAAGGAATCGTGGATAGGCACTTTTGGTCTTCCGGGTGACTCCCCAACCTCTGAGCTCTGGGTTCAGGGTGCTACATGTCCTTTCGCCGGAAACCCTGCTGTCTCACCAATGCCAAGCCATGCCCGCGGCTCGCAGACCCCCACCCCCCGCCCAGGGCCCCCGCTTCTTACCTCTTCCCTGATGTGTTCAACCTGCTCCTCCAGCAGCTCGTTCCTCTCCGTTAGGGTTTTGTTCTTCTTCAATAACGACTGGCCGATCCGAGCCGCCAACTCTAAATCCCGCTCTTTCTGCAAAAGGCCAGAGGGACAGCAGGGGTCAGATGCCCGTGCTGGCTGCAGGGGTCCACTAGGGCTCCACGCCAGCGAGGAACATCACAGGAGGCCGTTCACAGAGAGCCGGGGGCTCATAAAGTTACGGATTCCGCCCTCGCGTCCTGTGCTATCATCTCTGAGCCCAAACGGACCGCGTTGCCCGGGAAACCACAGGTGAGAAAGCAGAGGGTCGGGAGAGCCACCTGGTTCTTGGACACGGAACACGAAGAGAAAAGGTCAGCATTCAGGCCCAAGACGAACAGCCTGGAACCGACATCACCCGGGAGACGGTGTGGGAATGGCTGGGATGTGAACGGAATTAGGCTGTGTGCCCTTTTGCCAAAAAGAGATGGTACTTAAAATGATCCCGGCACCTTGCCACCCAGGTCCCTAACCCACGGAGGAGAAAGGGGGCAGCCCATGCCCTTGGAGCACAATCGGCCACCAACAGTAAGAGGCAAGTCTGGAAATGCGGGGAGCACCGTCCTGCGGGGAGACAACTTTGAGGACCTGAAGCTGAAGGCCCAAGTCTCCAACAGGCAAAACAAGTCTCATGGAAGCTCCGCGAAGGCACTGGCAGTGGTGACGGGGTGCGGGTGGGCATGGGGGTGGGCCGCTCAGGAGCTCCTGCATGCCCGCCCGCCGCTCCTCCACGACAGGGTGGGGGGGCTTTCTGCTCCCATAAAGAGTGACAGCTTCGGACACCCACAGGGGCAGGTCTATCCTGTCCTACAGGGTCTCTGTGAGTCAGAAGTGGCCCCGGGGCAGTTTGGGTGGATTGAGGGGTGAGTGGGAAGGGGCTTCTTCTGTCAAGAGTGACAGAAGCACACAGACACAGCTAGCCACGGCGGCTGCACAGCACAATCGAACAGAGCAGCCCTGACTGCGACGGCCAAGAACGCTGACACGGGCAATGGTTTATGACATCTACAAATACACCCATCAAGATTTTTTTTTTAACTCTGTTGGGGAAAAAAAAATCTTTATGTCTACAGAGGGGGAAATGCTTTCAAAAGAGGGTTCCTTTCAACCGTATTTGTGTGATGGTTAGCTCTTCTGCTGCCTCTTCACCTGAGGGACAGGCTGTGGGCTCATCGTGGCCCCCACACGGACTCACACTGGACAACTACTTGCTGACTGGACAGACGGACGGATGGAAGGACGAGTGAATGAACAGAGGAAAGCTAGCTGCTCCTATGACGAAGCCGAGATGTGGCACAGGGGTTCGGCTTGTTTCGCACCCATTCAGGCCGCCGCTACGGGCCCTTCAATTTGCCTCGTGTGAGCGAGAACCTTTTCGTTACTCGAAATACAGTTTCCAGGTTTCTTAGATTTGTTTCATTTTTCTGTGGATGGCTCCCTAGACTTCATTTCATTTAAAGATAATCTTACTGGGGGCTCTTACAGCTGTTAGAACTATCCACACTCCAACTGTATCAAGCATATTTGTACATATTTATTTATTTTTAAAAAGGCTTTTTTTTTTTGGAAGACTTTCGAAAGAGAGGCCGGATTCCATTGCCAAGCTCCAGAGACAGAGGCGGTGCTAAGGACACACACAGGACTTCCCACGTTCGGCTCACGGCATCCCTAAAGCACCATGGTGGAAGCCCGAGGAGTGCAGGAAGTGCAGGGACTTTCAGGAGGAGGTTTCCTGGCAGAGCCACGAATGGGCACCACCACCAAACGCACGCATGCTCGGCGATTCCCCTGGAATAACTGCCGCTACCCAGACGGAACCTCCACACTTTCAGGTGGGGGCTGGTGAGGGGAGGAGAGCTCTGGGAAGCAGATTCACGTTAGAAGGCTACAAGACCCCTCAGGACCAATAATGAGAGTAGCGATACCAGGAGGGGAAGGGTAAGGCAGGTGGTGGGGGGTGGGGTAACCGATCACCGTGATCTACATATAACCCCCTGCCAGGGGGATGGACAACAGAAAAATGGATGAAGGGAGACAGCAGTCGGTATAAGGCATGAAAAGAACTTTTAATAAATTATCAAGGGTTCATGATGGAGGAAGGGTGGAGGAGGCGGGGGATGAGGAACTGATACCAAGGGCTCAAGTAGAAAGCAAATGTTTTGAAAATGATGGCAACCTATGTACAACTGTGCTTGACACAATGGATGGATGGATGGTGATAAGAGCTGTAAGAGCCCCTGTATTAGTCTAGGTACTTTAGAGAAATCCACAGCAACTCATGTATAAGAGAGTTTTATGTAAAGAAAGTGTGCATCACAAAAACATCCCAACCCAATGCTGCCCAAGCCCACAAGTCCAACATTAACTCATTAACCCAGCACCAGTCCACAAAGTCCTCCACCTCACAAAACAGAGGCAATGATGCCGACTGCAGGAGGAAAGCTAAGTCCGTGAACGAATAAGTATCTCAGCACTAGCAGGGGTCTCCACACGGCTGCTCCAGCACCCAGGGCTGCATCGGGATAGGTCCATGTGGCTTCTCCTTGGGGATGTCTTGTAGGAAGTCAATCTTGCAAGCTGAAGCAGGGAACTAGCTAAGACAGCTGCACCCTGGTGCAACCATCACAAAACAAGAGACCCGAGAACTAGAAAGGCGAGGCTCCCCACCCATTTATCCCTCTGCCTTTCAATTAGCCCCACATGTGATTATCGGCCAGGTTGGCACAATTAACTAACTCAGCCGCCAATAAAATGGTTTTTTAAAATTGAGTGGTAAACAACAACAACAACAACAACAACAAAGGCTACAGGAACCATGTCTTCCATGTGGCATCCGAAGGGACTCTGGGGCCGGGGAGGAAGCTGGGAGGATGCCAGCTTGCAGCCTGCCGCCCGACCACTGCCCTTGGCAGGAGCAGCTTCAGCTTCTTGGCCAGGGCCAGGGAGACCCGGGGGTGTTTCCGAGCCACAGGTTAAGGAGTCCACTCATGAGCTGAGAAGTCCTGACTGCAATGTTCTGTGTGGAATGAAATACACAACGGTGCTGAGTTGAAAATCCAAAATCCCGGGTTACGCATGGCATCCTGTTGTAACTTCTGCTTGTCAACTAAAGCCTGGGTCACGACCCAAGGTGGGGTTTCCGTCCGCCAGCCCCGGTCAACAAGTGTAGCTCTCCAGGTGAGCCGTCCTTTTGGGGAGCGCTGAGTGTGTTCTCTTTGTGGACTCCAGTAAGGATGGTCAGCTGAGGTGCCTTTGGGGGGAAAAAGTCTCCCAGCGTTATGGGCCATGGAGTTTGGGCCAGTGAGAGAAGGGGCCGTTTTTAAACCCAACATCTTATTTTTTTATAAATCATTTTATTGAGGGCTGTGAGGGGATGTCCAATTGTCTACAGGTGGGCTTTGGGTCTCCACTCTGACCCCCCTCATTTGTATTGATATGGTTGGTTGTTTCGGGTCTTCTGATGCCTGATACTGTTGACACCTTGTGATTAGACAGGCTTTCTACAAGCGGGCTTGTTGATTGCCTGCTAGGTGGGCCTGTACTTAAGTCCAAGCCTTTTAGACCCCAGGTGCTATATCTTCTAATAGCTGGGCACCATCAGCTTTCTTCACCACATTTGCTTATGCACCCATTTTGTCTTCAGAGATCATGTCGGGAAGGTGAGCATCACAGAATGCCAGGTTATTAGATCAAAGTGTTCTTACATTGAGGGAGGACTTGAGTAGAGGCCCAAGATCTGCCTGCTACCTTGATACTTAACATATAAATATATGTACATAGACCTATATCCCTATAGTTATTACATTATATAGGGATATGTTAATACATTTAAATATTTACATGCCTATATTTATACCTCTATAAATGTCTTTTGTCTTCTAATTCTTTCCTCTATTTCAGCAGTTCTCAACCTGTCGGTCATGCCTCCCTTTAGAGTCAAACAACCCTTTCACAGGGGTCTCCTGATTCATAACAGTAGCAAAATTACAGTTATGAAGTAGCAACGAAAATCATTTTATTTTGGGGTCACCACAACATGAGAAATTGTATTAAAGGGTTGCAGCATTAGGAAGGTTAAGAACCACTGTTCTATTTCCTTTTACTTTCCTCCTGTCCCACTATCATGTTCAACCATCATTCGGCTCTCAGGAGTTCTCAGCTACAATGCACACGATCAAACCCCACCAGGTGTTCTACGCCCTCCTCACGTTCAATTTTAGATCTCTCGCTGTTCCCTTGTCCCTGAGCTTGTTGGCTCTCCCCTCCCTTTCCCCCACCCCCTTCCCTGTTCACCTAGAACAGTTAGTCCAATTGTTTTCCCAAGATTGTTTATCTTGCCTATCTTATCTAGATAGACATGGAAAAAAAGAAGGAAAAGGGGGTGGTGCTATAAATAGTTCTAGGTCTGTCTGCTGACCCTTACGTATTAAGCCCAACTTTTTACATGCCTGCCACATTCCACAGGAATATGGCATGCCTTTCCTAGCTAACCAAAGGAATCTGGCCAACTCCTGGCAAAACGCTTGTGGTGAAAGTCTAGTTTCGGGAGACTGACTCCACAGTGATGTGGTTCTCCCTTGTATGGATGGGACGCTTTCTCCTCTGGGGCCTCCACAATCCCCAACACATAATCCCTGTCACCTCTGTCTCAGAAGCCAGGCAGGCAAGATGGCAATGGGCTACCAGAGCCCCAACTCATTGCTACCGCTTGGACCCTCATCTGCTACAAATATAGTACATGTGGAGAGGGGCCCTTGCAGGGGCCAAATGGGACCAGTAATTTGGGCAGGTTGACCGGGAGACACATCTCTGCATCTTATCCTGCTGGTTGTCCCAGGAAACCCGGTAGCATGGTGGTTATGCGTTGGGCTGCAATCTGAAAGGTGGACAGATCAAAACCACCAGACGCCCTTACAGGAGAAAGACAGGGCTTTCCACGACCATACGCAGTTATAGTCTGGGAAACTCCCGGGAAACTCCCGGGACAGCTTGCCCATGTTTTGTAGGGGAACTCCCGGGACAGCTCGACCATGTTCTATAGGGTCACTATGAGTCAGTGTTGACTCAATGGCAGTGAGAGACATACAGCAAGGTTAGACCCACAAGAAGGGCTCGTGTCTCAATGACCCTAGATCACTTCTCAGCCTTATTTGGTTCCTGGAGCAAAGGAAGCCCGTGAGGACATCGGAACACCTGCTTCTTCGAGTGGCACCCAAAATGAACACCCAGGCCGAGCGGCAGAGCTGGCTAACCCTTGGTGAATCCCATGGCACCAGTGTCCAGTTCTCTGCCAGAGTGCGCTCTCCAGAGCTGAACTCAGGTCCGGCATGATCTTCCCAGTGCTCCTTCTCAGGCTGGGTAATACGCCCCCCTTCCTGGTCTGACACAGGTGTGAGCACAGACCTCTGTCTGCAGGTGTGGCCCCACCACCGTTTGCATACGCCTTCCATCACAAACAAGGCAAGCAAACATGACCGCAGCAGCAGCAGCGGTGGTGGTGGCAGCGGCGGCGGCGGGAGATCTGGCTGGGCAGGCAGGGCAAGGCTTTGAGCATGGTTGAGCAAGGCTGCCCTGGGCTCCCGGAAACCCACGAGGAAAAACAAGTGGAACAAGGAACTCAAGACAAAGTCCTTCACCCTTACACATTACACCTCACCCCCCAGACACCAGGGCCTCCTAGCTTGCCCTTGCCCATGCCCGTGGACGACCCAGGTGCGTCCTCCCCTGGCCCACACTGGGCACTCACAACAACAGTCTCGTCTTGATAAAGAGCCCTCCCGACTGGGGGAGGAGTGAGACTTCAAAGCAGGCATATGGGTGGATGAAATGGAAAGCAACATTGTCCAGAGGGTCTTGGGGTTTTTCTGAGCTTCCTAAGGCGAGGGGCCCGGGTTGGTGTCCCTTGGACAATGACAATGACAATGAGACATGTTGCCACACTTCCCACCAGCAGCCAGCAATGGATGCATGTTCCCGTCTAAAGAGGGGGCAGCCGCCAACAAACTTTGGCCATGAAGCTACGATGAAAGGTTGTTAGCTGCCACTGAGCCACGGCAGCTCCTGTGTGTCACACCGCACACCAGCTCCAGTGGGGCGCTATCCTGGCAGAGCCCCTCAGCTTTCTTCTTTACCAGTACTGCTGGGGGCAGGCTTCAAACCGTCAACCTTGGGGCTCGCAGTCCACCACATGAGCCACGGGGAAACCCCCCAACGAGAATAAGAGATTCTAAGGAAGTTCTTCAAGCTCTAGAAATAAGCTGTGGAAAGCACTGGCTCCTGTGTTTCTTGGAGAACTCGCACAGTGGGGCTCCCTTGAACTGTGGGTTCACCCTCCTGGGCTCTGCTCTGGCTACATGCATCTCTGCCCTTAGTGTGGGTGATGAGGGGGACTGCCTGGCATACCCCCTGGAGACAGGGAACCAGCCTGCCTCCCACACTCAGCAGCTGACTCATCCCATTCACCGATTCCAGGATGAAAGGTGTGACTAACAGGCCAGGGGGGTAACCCTCTCCGTAACTGAGGAGGAGGCCAGCGGTGCCAGGAAGGAAACTGTGAACAGCAGAAAGGCAGGGAAGGCCACAGAATCGTCCTCTTCCCCTTAGGACCAGAAACCAATCCTCAGTGCTGGAAGGGCTGTACCCCGGCCACCCATGCACCGCTGAAGAGTCAGCTCTAACTCCAAGGCTGTAAACCTTCACAGCAGCAGAGAACCTCATCTTTCCCCCACCCAGTGGCTGCTGGGTTTGAACTGCCACCGTTGCAGCTGGAAGCCCCACACGTATGCCACCGTACCACCCATGCATGCTGGCATTCGGTGCAAAACACCTCTCGCCCACCCTGCTGCTGACAGCCACGATACAGTCCGGCTGCCACGTGGCCCTGGCCCAGGGTGGTTACACTTAAACCAGGAAGCCCATCTCAAAAACCCAAAATCAAACCCACTGCCATCAAGTTGATCAGGTCAGGGTAGCACTGCCCCTGTGGGTTCTGAGACTGCAGCTCTTCACGGGAGTAGAATGCCCTGTGTTTCTCCTGCCGGGCGGTGAGTGGTTTGGAAGTGCTGACCTTGTGGTTCGCAGACCATTATGCCATCAGAAGCCCATCTAGTTCCTAAGACAGGCAGGAACGCAGACGGGATGCTTAACACAGGACAAGGAACTGACTGGCCGTAAATCACACAGAGACAAAGACCACAATGAGTCTCTAAAACAAACACAGAACCGCCTCGAGAGACTGTTCCTCCATATTCTTCCCAGGAACTCAATTCAAACAAACAAACAAACAAACAAAAAGAATCCCAGGGCTCAAATAGAAAGTTTAGAAAATAGTGATGGCCACCTGTATACAAATATGCTTGATACAATGGATGTATGGATTGTTATAAGAGCCCCCAGTAAAATGATCTTCATAAAAATCAAAAACAATGAGATGAGGGTGTATGCTGTACAAGAACACTGGTGTCAAAAACTAAAGGGAGAGTGTAGTTATTAATTACCAGTCACTGGTGGCAAACTGGTTACACACATTGGGCTGTGATTCGCATGATCGAATCCACCAGCCACTCCTTGGAAGAAAGACAGTGCTTTCTAGTTCCATAAAGAGTGAGTCTCAGAGACCCTCAGGGGCAGTTCTACCCTGTCCTATAGGGTCACCATGAGCCACCATCCACTCGATGGTGATGAGTTTGTGTTTGTTTAAAGCAGAAGGTTTGGAGTCCCTGCCCGGCACCAGTGCGACCAAGCAGAGCAAGGGGCCATGGAAAGCATTGCCTGGTCCACACTTAAGGTAACAGTGTGGACAGCACACACTAGAGGCACAGGCGGCCGGCACATCACACAGTGCAGCTGGCGAGGGCTTGGACTCAAAGGACACGGGGGAGCCGTGGCACGCCACTTGTCGCCACGCAGACCCTTGGCTGCTAAACAGAGGTAGGATATGCCCAGGCTCAGAGCCATCAGTGGGGAGGAAAGGCCTGGAGGTTCCCCCCACCCTAGGAAGATTTCGGCCCAGGAAATACCCTGGGGAAGTCTGACGCTGTCCCAGGGCTGCTGGGCGTCCGGGTCAGCTAGACATCACCGAGCAAGTGTGCAGGGGGATTGGCGAGCCGAGGAGAGGAGTGAGAGAGGGCGGGAAACACCGCCCTCGGTAGCAGGGGACCCCTGTTGCTAAGGATGATCACCCAGGCACTTACTGAAGGCCTCCTCCTTCCAAGGGCCAAAGGGAAGATAGCCACTCTCCCACAAGGCCCCAGGTGGAAAAGCTCCTGTCCCATCCAGCCAGCCACACTCCTGTGCCGGGGCTGGGTGAGGACACAGGTGACCTGGGGTCAAGGTGACGGGGGACACTCACTGTCATCGATATTGACTGATAGCAACCCTATAGGGCAGTGGTTCTCAACCGTCCTAATGCCGTGACCCTTTCATACAGTTCCTCATGTGGTGGTGACCCCCCAACCATAAAATGATTTCCATTGCTACTTCATCACTGTCATTTTGCTACTGTGATGAATCGGGCGACCCCTGTGAAAGGGTTGTTCAACCCTCAAAGGGTCGCGAGCCCCCAGGTTGAGAAGCACTGCTCTAGTGCAAGGTGGGACTGCCCTGGTGTTTCCGAGACTTGGTTGTAGAAAGCCACCTCTTTCTCCTTCAGATGAGCTGGTGGATTCGAACTGCTGACCTTGTGGTTAGCAGCCCGACAAGTACCCCTCTACGCCAAATGGCAGGCTGGGACAGGGGTGGGAGAGCAGGAGGCATGCTAAGAGAGAGTGCGTTCAGGGACAATGGCAGGGGTGTGGACTTGAGTGTCACCGAGACACACAATAACACACCGAGACAGGTTGCTGTAACCCATTTCAGCTAGAACCAATCGACTATGAACGACACGCACCACCTCGCCCACCCCGCAGCCCCCCAGCACTTACCTCCTCAAGAAGTCGAGTAACAGCATCTATGTCATTATATGTTTTAGTCATCTGGCCAACTCGCTCAGCACATAAAACTGCAAGAAAGAGAAAGGGCAGTGAAATTACTGATGCGGCAAACCCACCAAGCACGGTGGGTCGACACCCCGAGTCTGCGTGTCTGCACAGGAGACAAGGGCTTCACCAGTCTGACCCACCAGGGCTCAGGGACCCCTGGTTTTCAATCATGGTTACCACGGTGAGCCCATGTTTCTGGGGGCCTAGGCCCTGTGATGCCCCAGCAGAGAGAGAGAATGTGTGTGCGTGTGTGTGTGTGTGTGTGTGTGTGTGTGTGTGTGTGTGTGTGTGATTTGAGGACATGGCATGGAGAGGAACGTGGTCTGGCCTCCTATTAACTAGCAAACAATTGCAAGGAGTAGGGTCAGCATTCCATCACTTGCGAATCTTCAGGAAATCCCTGCGGGGCTCCGGACCCCACTGACCACACAGATGGAAAGGGGTCCCTTGGGCGGCAGCTCCTGGTAGAATTGTCAAAGCACAGTTGTAAGCTGATCATTTCCTAGTGGTGCAATCGCTACCCACACCCCCCGGGGCTTCCATCTTCGGGCTGTGCAACTAGTTTCTAGACTCTGGAAACGAGGGTGATAGGGATTTTCAAATCGACATCAAAGAGGCCACCCTCACCGCTGCACCTGCACCCATGCACACAGTGCCATGTTTCAACTGTACGTGACGTTCTGTGGCCCCAGGCTGCATGGGCACTGTCTTTGGAGAAAGGGGCAGGGCAACTACAGACGTCTTAGTCTGCTGGGCAACCTCAGAGTTGACCTGCAGGTCAACAAACACCAAGAGGGCAGCATGGGCTATACTCCACAGGGGTGGGGGGACAGGGATTAGCCATGCATTTAGTGCCAACCTATACAAATGCCTTGAACCAGGCCATGTTTAGACAAAATAATAATGTTTCCGTGAGCCCTGATAACCAAGTCTTCTAGGGAATAAGCCTGTAGAGCTGAAGACACAGTTCAGCTCTCATGTGATAGTTCCATAGTTTCAAATCAACTTGATAAATAAGTGTAGGGGTGGAGTCTAGCCTATCAATCATGCCTCCTTGTGGCCGTGGTCTTCTCATGAGGATTCTGGGAACTTCCTCTCTTTCTCCCTGGAAGCAGATCACACACACTCTCTCTCTGCTTCACCTTTCCATGGACAAGCCACGGGGAGCCACACCAAGACCGCTACTGGATCCACAAGACTTTCCACCCACCGGCCTGTGATCTTCCTGCATTTTGCATCGTTGCATGTGCTGCATGAGTCTGAAGAAGGCTTTATGGGCTAGTATCGGACTATGGACTTGATCTGGACTGAACTGGGGCGTTTTCTTGATACATCATTACTCTTTGCTATAAAGCCCTTTCTTATTCATAGTGGAGTGTCCTTGGATTTGTTTCTCTAGTCAACCGGGCGTAACACACCCTGCCACGACCCACATGCAGCGGTAGACTGTGCCACGCATTGGGGAATTGACCACGTCGAGCCCAGTCCCATTACAGACTGCATGCTGCAACTGGAATTCGATCGGCCTCTAAATATTTCATTGGATGCGAGGAGAGAGCCTCCTGGTAAATGAGCTCATGGAAATCGGATCTGTTGGAATGATTTTCTAGGCTGAAGGGGAGACCTGAAATCTGGTTCCAAATCTGAAACCCTGAGGCCATTCAGAGGCGGTGAAGCGCTGGGAGAACTAGCAGAAGGGGCTTGCCTCTCCAGCCCCACACCCCACACCCCCATCCCTCAACCCTCAGAGAGGACACTCTGCTGCAGGAGACCCCCTGTGTGCGCAGAGCTGGCTGTCAGCTGGCTGGGGGGAGACCACAGTATCTGAGGCACACTGCCCCAACCAAGCACCTTCCTTCTGTCACCTCTGCCAGGCCTGCCAGGGCGGGACCAGCAGGGAGATTTAGAAGGGTTGGTTTACACCAGCATCTAACTGGATGTAGATGGGAGTCTGGCTCTGCTTGAACGGCCAGTGGAAATCAGTCGAGGCGCCTTAGGAAGGTGCCTGTGCCTGGAGGTCATCCTGTCCCCCCTCCCCTGTGCAGAGCAAGACACCTCCGCAGTCAGCACATCCCGAGGAAAACACCACACCCCACTTTGCAACCCAGAACCCGACTTGCAGAAGCCAAGGTGGCCTGTGTGCCGGGGAACTTGCATGTGACACAGATGCCTGCTAACGTCAACCTTACTCTTCCTGAGTAACCAACTGAGAGTCCCCCGAGGGAGGGAGGGAGGGAGGGAAGGGTAAAGAGAGAGAGAACCAGAGCCATTCTTTATTTCAGCTAGTTTGGCTTCTTTTCACCCCAAAACATAGGAGAATAAAATTTGAGACAGCCTTCTCTGCAGCTCTGCACCGATCAACGATGATACATACTAGTCTAAAGCTAACTCTGAAACTGAGACCTGTGGCTCTCTGGACCGATAAGGGGCCCCATTTCCCCAAAAACGTTTTGCAGTCACCAAAGGATCTCACCCCCCAGGATTCAGACACTGACGTGGTCCACCGGTTGTATTCAGCTCTCAATCAGCCTTACTTGTTGTGGTAGTTACATAATGTGGTGTCAATTTGAGGATTCAGAGTGAAAGGGTGGAGGCTAGCCTGTCAATCAGGTAGTAGCTTGATGAGCTCATTTGGAGGCACTAAGGAGATCAATAGCTCGCTGGTGGCGGGACACATGCTCACTCCCTGCAAGATATCCCTGTGGAGAAGACTCAGGGAGAGAAGCTGATGGAGCCAGACCTCTGGAGCCGGAGAAGCCACATGGAGACCCCTGCCAGGGCTGAGATGCTTACAACGTCACCGGATCCATAAGACTTCCCACCAATCGCCTGTAATCTTACTGCATTCAGCGTCATTGCATGTGTTTCGTGAGTCTGAAAAGGACTTTATAGATTGGTATCAGGCAAATGGGCTAATATTGGACAGATGGGCTTGATTTAGATGTTTTCTCAACACTCAATTGCTCTTGTGTATAAAGCTTTCTTACACACATAGGAGTGTGCCTATGAATTTGTTTCTCTAGTCCACCCAGACTAACACAATAGGGATCGCCTTACTGAACCCTCCGAGCAAAGCTACGGGGTGGTGGCAGTGTCAGGTGTCATCTAGCCAACGATGACGCGCAGTGACCCTGTGCACAACAGGAGGAAGCAGGGCCGGCCCTGCGTCATCCCCACAATGGTTCTTGGGTTGAGCCCATGGCTGCAGCCACGGTGTCGGCCCATCTTGTCAAGGGCCTTTCTCTTCTAGACTAACCTTCCCCTCCACCAAGCAGGATGTCCTTCTCCAGGGACTGGTCTCTCCTGACAACATGTCCAGAGTGCATGAGACAGATTTGTTCTTCTGTCATCCCATAGTCTTTTCAAGATTCTCCTACCATGGGACACCCAAATAACAAACCCACTGTCATCGCGTGGATGCCCACTCACAGCGACCCTCGAGGACAGGGTGGAACTGCTCCTGTGGGTTTCTGAGACTCTGGCTTTTGAGGAGAGTAGAAAGCCTCACCTTTATCCCAAGGAACTTTTAATTTATAAACACACATCAGCCCCATTCTGTAAATAGGAAACCAAGGCTGAGAAAGGCCTGGCAACTGGCCCAGTGTCACATCACCAGAAGTTTTAAAAAGTTCACATGAAGAACAGATTCCCAGCAGAGGCACGGCTAACCCTTATGAAGCCCCTGCCACAAGGAGGAGATTGATATGTTTTCTGAATTGCACCCTCAGCCCACGTCAGTTGTGATTATAACCAGCACTAACACCGAGGCCCTGAGATGCTGAGCACTCAGCAGAGGGGTCAGCTGAGCGAGCCTGGGTCACTCTAGCTCCTGCACAAAAGAGGAAAGGTGTGAAAGGTTTACTGTGCCAACCTGGACAATACGAACATGTGGGATGAATCAGGTTGCAGTTTAATTGGAGGGCAAAGAGCTAAATGGCTCTGTAAGGCCCGCCCCCCTCTCTCTTGTTCTCTGGTGATCAGAGAAGCTGGAGTGTTTGTGCTGCTGCTGTAGCTAGTTCTGTGAGCTGCACTACCTGTGGGCCAGGCCAACCCATGGATCCTGTCGCTAGAGCGTGAGGCTCCTTCGAGACCTGCTTCACCACGCTGCAGGTGTGTACATCACTTCAACTTGAGGCTGTTGGATCCTGTCGCCTTGCATTGCTCGCATTTGATATCCTATCCAGGCCTGCTTCGCTAAGCTCCCGAGCTACTGACTGTTGCTGACCCACCTTGATGCTTGCTGCCTGTGGGCAGACTCTGCTTGTCTTGCCCGAGGGAGGGCTCTGCTGTCTGCTTCCTTGACCTTGGACCCAGCATCCCAGTGAGTTGAAGGACGTCCAGTATATTCACTGCTCCATGAAAGTGAACGGACCCCTCTGCACTGCTGTGTGGACTAATTAGCTGCTACATTCCTTCTCGCTGTATAAACCTATCCTCTTATATATAAAATCGTAAGTGTCCTGGTTTCGTTTCTCTAGCGAACCCTGCCTAACACAGAAAGGGCAGGGCAGGGTAGGGCAGGTCGCTGTGAGGGTGACAGTCAAGGTGGCAGGGCTGGTACAAGCCCACCATGTTCAGGAAAGGCTGCCAACAGGCAAACCTCTGTGGAGTGGGAAATCGAAGACAGAGCTGAGGCCCCTGCAGCGAGCTGTGCCACGGCCCCGTATTGCTGACTCTAGTTTCTGCTCCGATGGGGGTGAGGCACACGGAGATCTAGCAGATAAACCCACCTCTACCCTGAACACCACCACCCTCCCCAACACAGTCACAGCCACAGGCTCTCGAGCAACTTCCCTGTCTCACTCTCACCCTAGAGGACAAGGTGGGGCTACTCCTGTGGGTTTCCAGGGCAGGGGCTCTTTGCAGGAGTAGACAGCCTCGTCTTTCTCCTTGGGAGTGCCTGATGGTTTTGAACAGTCATCCTTGTGATTAGCAGCCCAACGTGCAACCAAACGGCACGGCACCAGGGCTCCTCCTGTGGTAAGACGATGGTTGAGTCCCCAAAGAAGGCAGCTGTGTG